CTGTTAAACTGACCCTTGGCTCAGGCAGTGATCTCATTGCTCTCAGCCTCTCACTATGTATATTCAATGCGCTGATGAGAATACAAGTTACTGACTATCACAGAGGATTAACAAGCCAAATTATTTTACTCCTCACTGATCAATGACAATTTTAGAATTATCCGATTTCTGGCATGAGTTATGAACTTATGATACTACCTTTCCTTTTTGAAAAGAATTAAGAAACACAACCCCAGGGTATTGGTCCTCCTTTTTTTTTTTTTTGAACAAGGTATTGGTCCTCCTCCTTAGCACTAGAGCAAAGCCTCACTGGCCAAGTTAGATACCTATATGCACAGCGTTCCTTTACACGTGTTGACAATCTAAAACCACTATGATACCTTAAAAGTCTGTGTCTCGACATACCTAATGCATCTACTACAGTCAGGCATCAATCCTACTGCCACAACCTAACACTTCTCTAGAGAATGCTTAAATTAAATTCGGAAACATAACATCACGGTGAACACCCACCGAAATATGTACTTCCTTAAAATATTAAGGTGAAGTTCTTCCTATTCCTTTAGTTACACTTTACACACCAATGATCAATCACAATTTAGAGTTATCCATTTCCGCAAAAGGTCTACCGGAAATAGCCTCTCGGCCTTTTTGAAGGTAGGGGTAAGGTCTGCTTATACACTACTCTCTCCAGACCCCCACGTGTGGGATTACATTGAGTTTGTTGTTGTTGTTGTTGCCAATTCCACAAAAGAGTTATGAACTACCTCTTTTTTCAATAATTAAGAACCACAACATCCTGGTAGCGGTCTTTCTTTTTACCACTAGAGCAAAGCTCCGTTAGCCAAGTTAGGTACCTATCACGAATACAGCATTAACTTGTTTAGCTCAAAAAGCTAAAGTTTTACAAGCGCTCCTTACGCTTGCTGACAATCAAAAACCACTTCAATACCTTAAAATTTTGTGTCTCAATGTACCTAATAGCTAATGCATCTACCACAGTTAGCCATCAATCCAACTGTTACAACCTAACATTTCTATAAAGAATGCTTAATCAAACCTAACATCAGATTTTCAAGTACTTCCCCTAGATTGGTAAAGGGAGACTTTTGCTAAACAAACTCCCAAAACCAATGCAATGGAAGAAAAAAAAAGGAAAAATTAAACTCATATTAACTCCACAAACATCTCTTGTGCGGAGGCAAAAGTTTATAGGAATAAAACCATCAATCGTCTTCGGAAACAGCCTCTCTACCTCCACAGGGTAGGGGTAAGGTCTTCGTACACACTACCTTCCCCATACGCCACTTATGGGATTATATTGGCTATGTTGTTGTTGTTGTAAAACTATCAATCAAGTGAAAACCAGCCTGCATTTACAATAGAAATATCTTTGGTGGCATAATTTGCCCATAATCCAGTAAAATGCCCAATCAAATAGGGGTTTCCACGTGGCATTCTGTCTAAAATAGGGGTAAAATTGATCGATATTATAACGGTAGGGTCTCAATTAGCCAGATTGTGAAACGGAGGGTATAAATAAATAATTTTTGATAGTAGAAGGATATATTTGACCCTTTGCCGAAACAAAAATTACTGAGCAGTTGCACCAAGTTCATAACTATTGAGCATATGCAGTGGAGGCAGATATTAATGCCTCCCAAACCGATCACCNCCCACCAGCAGATATTGGGTAACATATGTGAAGAATCGACTAGTATATTTCGTTTCTGCTCGGATTTAAATCATGGTCTTCAGGTTGCACCCTGGTCACCTCAGGCTTATATCCCAGTAGAAACAAATAAAACTTCCATTGGATTAATTCTATCAAGAAAATCCATTTGATTAAGCAATTACCAAATCCAAACACAAAATATGAAACCAACAAAACAAAGGTGCAAAAACAAAGGCAGTGATCACAGTGGGATTCGAACCCACGACCTTTAGATTCGGAGTCTAACGCGATATCCACTCCGCTATGTGATCACATTGTTACCAACTTCTCCAATTTTCCTTCATTTATTTATGTTCGACATTTCTACTATCATCGAAAGCGACAAAGGAAGATCAGAAATGGGTACCACTTTCACCGATCGAAATTCAAAACCCCATTTTCTGAAGAAACAAACAAAATCAAAATGAATGGAAAAACGACTCCAGAAATAACAGACAACAAAATTCAGATCTGTATATATTCACATGAATACACAGTCATAGAAGTATATATTCACATGAATACACAGTCATAGAAGTGTAAACATCAAACAACTGTGTGTGTGTGTGTGTGTAAAAATTGATCAGATGGAGATCTGTACCTTTGTTTGGATACGACGTCGAATGAGATCAACCTTCTGTTCGGACAGAGAGAAAAAAGGAGTAAAAGTACGTTTTGGGGGGTTGAGGACAGTAATGTGATTTACTTAGGTTAAAGAAGAGGTAAACAGAATCAAATCAGATCTCATTACGTTTTAAGTTTGGGAAAAACTAGGGCTGCTTATCGGGCGGATTGGGCGGTTATATACTCTTAACGGTTTAGCTTATCGGTTATCGGCTTTTAAATATATTAATCCGCTAGCCACCCGATAAGATATCGGGCGGATTGGGCGGTTATATACTCTTAACGGTTTAGCTTATCGGTTATCGGCTTTTAAATATATTAATCCGCTAGCCACCCGATAAGATATCGGGCGGATTGGGCGGTTATATACTCTTAACGGTTTAGCTTATCGGTTATCGGCTTTTAAATATATTAATCCGCTAGCCACCCGATAAGATATCGGGCGGATTGGGCGGTTATATACTCTTAACGGTTTAGCTTATCGGTTATCGGCTTTTAAATATATTAATCCGCTAGCCACCCGATAAGATATCGGGCGGATTGGGCGGTTATATACTCTTAACGGTTTAGCTTATCGGTTATCGGCTTTTAAATATATTAATCCGCTAGCCACCCGATAAGATATCGGGCGGATTGGGCGGTTATATACTCTTAACGGTTTAGCTTATCGGTTATCGGCTTTTAAATATATTAATCCGCTAGCCACCCGATAAGATATCGGGCGGATTGGTATCGGTTTAGCTCTTATCGGGCGGTTTATCGAATTGTTTGTTGACCGCTATGACTCAAAATAAAATTCCTAAGAAGAGAGCTAAATAGAAGAAATAGAGAGATGTGTATTCCAACGTATTTTCCAGTAGAATCATCTCTGGGGATGAGCCTATTAATAACTTATAACTATCATAAGAAATAGAAGAGAACACTGGGTATAATACATGATAATCAAAATTATCTAATAGTAACTAAATGGAATAGTAAATTATAACTAACTGTGTAATAGTAAATTAGTAATAGAGAATAGAGATAGAGTACTGAAAGTGGAAGAATGGTTTTTGATTATTTAATATATATATATATATATATATATATATACGGGTTAATAGATTATCCGTTAAGAAAATTGAATAATCCGCTCCCAAACCGATAAGTCGTTAATAAAAAAATTTCAATCCGTTCCCCGATACCAATAAGCCATTAAGCTTCGGTTTTGAATACCCCTAGGAAAAACATACATAAATGTGGCTGCTGGGATTCGAGCCCAGGTCTCCACGGCCACAACGTGGAATTCTCACCACTAAACTACAGCCACTTTATGCAACATGATAAACAAATAATCAATTATTTTGTGCAAACAAAATAGATTTTGACAAAGATGTAGAAAACAAATTCTCCAAAAATACACTTAAAAAGCATAGAAATATTTTTCAACATATTCTTTTTTGTTCAATAGATGACTAATAAGTTTTCTATTTTTTAGTTTTTATTTTTGTGAAGACAATACTTCTTGTCTACCTAGTTGCGATTATCTAAATAAATTTAGCTTAACAAAAATAAAATTGATATTGTGTTGATTTTTTTTCTTTTTGGCATGACAACAATCGGTTCGGCAAGATTAAACTTACTTGTTAAGTGTTCATAATAACTCCCTACAATTTCTTCAATTATATTTCTTTGATTTAAGAAATATTTATTTTCTAGAACTTGTGCATTGTTTTATTGCTGTTAAAGAAAAGACAGGAATATGATAAGCAGTTAGATGTAATTTGGCTTTTTAATCATTTTGGATCTGTGTAATTTTTTTGGTTATAACTTTTTACAAGAAATATTTAGGATTAAGATTATCGGTGAAACTATCTGTTAGTTTTGATGGGTAAATTTTATTCCGTCCACTAATAATAAGGACATTATTTGCGAGCAAATTCAAACGGGGACAGTGAGTACAAGATAAATATTTTGCTTATATAAAATAAATAAATAAATGCATATTAAAATAAAGGCAAAAAATATAAGTGTTCCCTTTAAGTCGTCCTCAACCATCAACTAAACATCTCAACTCAGCCCATGGCTAAATAAAATATTAATTATTTAATGTGATTTAAACAATAATTACGTGCAAATAATTATCAAAAAATCCTTCAAAATAAAGATGAAATACGATTAAAAACATAGGTGTGTAGCGAAGCATTGGCAATTTAGCTAGCGTTTGGCCATAGATTCCCAAATTTATTCTGAAAAATCGGATTTGGGTGAAGTTTGGTTTGAAAATGAAAATGTGTTTGGACATCTGTTTTGGGTGAAGTTTAGTTTGGAAAAACATGAAACATGACTTATACCCACAAGTTCTAAAAACTATCACAAATACCCAACAGTACCATTATCAATAACATTCATTATATTATTGCAAACCATAGTCGTGAACATAAATAAATTTGATACAAAATTATCATTCTTATAATGAACTACATGATACACTATCAGATAACCGAGAAGACGAAGCAATATCGTTACAAAATAATAAATTGTGGGCTCTTTTATAAAATACAAAGTTTTGAGCAATTTTAAAAAAATATAATAATGATATTTTGGATTGAGCTGGTTTTGGAATTTGGGATTTGGCCAAAATATTGGCAAAATCTATAGTCAAATATGTGTTTGTCAAATAAAACCCAAATTTATTTTGACAAAATCTATGGCCAAACGGATCCTTAATTTCACTCCTCCTAAAATCATATGGAATTTGGTCCCAAAGCAGTCTTGACTCTTGATGTGCTCCTTTTGAAAAGCATCATAACCAACACTTTTAACAAGAATGGTTGCCAAAAAAAGCAAGCCTTTCATTGTCCATCAAACTTGGCCAAAATACAAAATTGGTCTTTCGTCTAAAACAAATTGTATTTGTTAGCAAAAAAATATATAAAATAT